AAAAAAAAAAAGATACTGTTGCAAGGATAAACTAGGTTTATCTGCTTCTAAAGGTTTTTATTAAACTCTCAGTAAGTCAAAGCATCAACTAGAATGCTACCTGTCAGCAAAGTCAGTTAAGACTTGTAAAACTTATGAAGTTAAGAAATCCTCTTTCACAAAGTCGTTTAAATTGAGTACACTACTCACAAGTTAAAATATACCAAGTAAATACAACATACATGGGAAGAGAGCTCTAAAGAAATGGGAAAGCTAGGCACTAACGCTATAGTTTCAAAGAGTGAAAAGAAAAGAGATTGCAAGTAGAAGACTCAATATCATCAAAATCTTCAAGCTAGAAAATTATGGGATACATCCAAAGAACTACTCAGCATAGCTATCTGTGCTGTAGTTCCAAGATAGATTGGGCTTTTTACATCATACAGAAGCATTTGGACTTCATTCTGAGGGCAGTGTAAGAATTGTGGTGTGTGTGTATGTGTGTGTGTGTGTGTGTATGTGTTATTTGGCTTGTAAGGGAAATATGTACTAAATTCATGAATTTAATTCATAAATTCATGTAAGACTGCTGTGTTACTCCTGAATGGGGTCATTTAAAGGGCATTATAGCAGACCGAATAGTAGAAAAAACACTTCATGGCAAAAATTGATTAAATCCTAAATTAGAAGACAATACCACCAAAAGAAATTGAAGTTAAAATATACACACCAGAGAAGATGCAAACCTTTCACAGTGTAAAAAAGGCAGAATTCTAGTTTACTATTATGTAATCACAGCACTATTTTAAAACAATGATAAACTCCATTCCAAAAATTATCATTGTAAGCAAAACTAATTAGGCTTATCGAGTACTGTTACAAACTAAAACAAAAAAACCTGCTGCTGTGTTGTTAATTCCAATCAGGGTGACTCCATACAATATACGGTAAAACTGCACCATAGGGGGTTCTTGACTGTAATGTTTACAGAAGCAGATTATCATGCTGTTCTTATGCAACAACACTCCAAAACTCATTATTATAACTCACAGCAACCCTAAAGGGAAGAGTACAACTGGTCCTGTGAGTTTCTGAGACTATCAACCTTCACATGAGCAGAACACCTTATCTTTCTCCTGCAGTGTCTGCTGACTTTGAACTGCTGACCTTAGGGTTAGCAGTCCACTTCAAAACCCACTATACTACCAAGGTTCCCTTACAGTGAGTGCCACTAGGTAGGTTCAACCTACGAGGCAGGTGGTACCACCTTCTGGTTGGTAGCCAAGTACAAACTATTTGTGCCACCCAGGGACCTGACAATTAAAAAACCTAGTTTTCTCTCACTTCCCGAGCACAGAGCAATGATCGTCAAAATAGCTCAAACTGGGATAACGACTGATTCATAGAGCAATGCAACAAAATAAAAAATCTAAAAATAAATCCATCTACCTACTGACAATTGATTTTTGACAAAGGGCTGAAATACATCAAATGAGGAAATAAGAGTCACTCTAACAAATGACACTGGCAAAAATGAGTTTCCATTTGCAGAAGAATGAAGTAGAAGCCATATATCATTCCATATATAAAAACAAAATCAAGATGGGTCAAAGATCTAAATGTAAATAAATATAAACATGAGATATATAAAGAACATTAATAATGAAATAGGGACAAATTTAAGGGCCTTCATACAGGGCCTAAACACATCATCTAACATAACAAAACACGCACACACAGAAGACAAACTAGACCACTGGGCTCTCCTAACAAAACATGTCGGAGCACGAGAAGACTTCATCAAGAGAACATTTTGGAAATGACATACCGGACAAGGGAGGGGTCTCTAAACACTATAGAAAACTGTAACACCTCAAAAAGAAAAAGACAAATATTCCAATTAGAAATGGGCAGAGAGAATGAACCGATAGTTCATCAAAGAAGACATCTACGCAGCCAACACACATATGAAGAAATGCTCGCAATCACTAGTCATTCAAAAGATGCAAATCAAAACCATGAAAAGATAACACTTCTGGCCGGCACAGATAGAAAAGTTTAACAAATGTAAAATAACCAATGCTAGAGAGGATGCAGAGGAATTGGAAGCCTCATACACTGCTGTGATCTATAAAATGATGCGACTACTGTGGAACGTAAGATGGCACTCCCACCAACAACTGGGAACAGTAATACCATATGACCCAGCCCTCCCTCTACTTTACAAACCCTGAAGAAATCCTGGCGGTAGCATTTGCAGATATATGCAATCAGAGCACTCCTCACAACTGCAGGAAGATGGCAGTGTCAGGAAGAGAAGGGAGACAAGAGGAAGCTATCGGTTAGAAGGTACTCAAGTGTTGACAAGAGTGAAAGGAACGATCATATTCTACAAGAGGAAGAAGAGAAAAACAAAGTAAAGGTCGAGGGATATGGCAAGCTATTGGGAGGTTTGACAATTGTTTAAATTGAATACAAAAAGGATGATCCAACATATAAACTCAAAAATTTCCCTGCCATCAAGTCAATTCCAACTCATAACAATCTTATAGGAGGGAGTAAAATTGCCCTTGTGGACTTCTGATACTGTCACTCTTGACAGGAGTAGAAAACCTCATCTTTCTGCCATGGAGCAGCTGGTGGTTTCGAACTGCTGACCTTGCAGCTAGTAGCTCAAGGCATAGCTCACTACGCCACCAGATTCCTTCTCCAATATAACACCTCCACCTAATTCGCAATGAAAAGTTAGAAAACAAGACAAAAGGCTTAGTCTCATGATAGTATTCCTTCTGGGAAGTTTCAGAAATGTTCTTCCTCCTTCCTACTCACCAGCTCTATAGAGATCGTCAGGCAGGGGAAATGCTTATTAGTCAGCTTGACTTTCAAGGCTCTGGCGTTCTGCGCAGTTTTCAAGGCTCGAGATAAGTTTTCTGGAGTCAGTTCTATATAAATCTCATTGTTTTCTTCTGATATTCCTTCCATTTGAAATTCATTGAAGAAGTTCTCCTAAGGAGAGAAGAGAGGCATGTGTGGTCTGTCCGGCACATGAGGGCTGAGTTTGCAGCTCTCTGAGAAGCTTCAGCTCACCTGTTCCAGTTCACACCACATGCTCACGCCTCCGTTGGCCACCTTATCTAAAAGGATGAAGTTCAGCTTATCTGGGCTGATGCGGAGGGTGCAGGTTTTGGCAAGCTTGGCTATCATGTTACTGACCCCTATAGCAGTGGGATGGAAAGTAAAAAATGACAGCAGCTGACATAAGGTAGAAAGGAGTCCTGATGGCGCCGTGGGTTAGCTGTTGGGCTGCTCACTTCATGGTGGGCTTTTCAAACCTACTAGTCGTTCCATGGAAGACAGATGAGGCTGGGTGATTCCACAAAGAGCTAGTCTGGGAACCCCTCTATTGACAGTCTTGCTATGTTCTGAACACACATGATGGCAAGTGGGTTTGGTTTGGACATCATGAAGAAACCCAGAGCCAAACCCGCTCTTAGGTCAACTCTGACTCTCACAGTGACCCTGAAGGGCACTACAACCCTATCTTGCAGGATGACACTGCCCATTGATTCCAAGGCAATGAATCTTTACAGATTGTCACATCTTTCTCTTGAAGAGGCCCTGGTGACTTCAAAATGCCTGGTGGATTCAATGCACCACCTTTCAGTTAGCAGTGGAGGGCTCTAGCTACAACACTATGCATACACTAACCAACAGACAGTCTACGGCCATGGGGTCCTTTGGACCTCAGTTTCTACATCAGGTTTCTGAAGCTGTAAATCTTTCAAAGGACAGATGGCCTCAACTTTTCCCGGGAGCAGCTGGTGGGTTTGAGCATTTGAACTTAGGCAACATACTTTAAGGATCCTTACCACATATACTAGAGGGCAGATTATCTTAAAGAACTTCTCTTCGCCATGTTTCAATATCCCAGTGGGGTGGGGGGAACCGTTTCTATTTGTGTCCATTGGAAGGCACTTTATTACCACAACCCTGTGGTGTGTGGAGCACTCTCAGCTTACTGCATCTAGGCAGTGCTGGCTCGTAGCGACCGATATGGGTTTCTGAGACTGTCGTCGTTTACAGGGGTAGAAAGCCCATCTTTCTCCCGCGGGGCTGCTTGCTGGTGGTTTTGAACTGGAGACCCAGCCCAACGCGAAACCACAAAACCGCCGGGGCTCAATATTCAAACAAGGAAGACGAGCCTCGGGGGCTTTGCTGACAGCTGGTGATTGCAGTCATTGTTCCAGAGTCCGCTCGCTGCCCACTGGGCAAAGAACGAATGGCTAGATAAAATCGGACGGTGAAGGGATTCCTGTGACAGGTGGAGACCGACGCCAGTCACCGGCTTTGAAACGGTTAGATTAGAACCAGACTTTCAGAAACACCCCTGGGCACCCGCTTACTCCCAGAGAACCCGCCGAGCGCTCCTTTCAGTGCCCGCCCGCCCCCGTCCCCGCCCAACCGCGCGCCAGGGACCCTTCCGGCGCGCGCACTGTCTCGCGGCCGCGTCCCCTCCCACGTCCTCCCCTCCGTCTGTCCTGCCGCCATCCTCCTCTCGACCCGACCCTGGTCAGGCGCAGCCCTCGCTCACGCGTGAAGTTGTTCAGACAGGCCGTGTCCACGATCTTGGCCCGAAACTTCATGGCTGGACTCGCGGTTCGACCGCCGGAGCGTCGGCAGACGTCGGACCAGCGTCCGTCGGC